CCACAATTTTGGGTGTACTGTTTTGTTTTTGTTTTTACTGATGGGGGGTGGGGGGTGTGGCTTATAGTCTGGTGCGGCTTATACGTTGATGTTCGCGCCTTTTTTTAAAAAAAATGGCGGGTGCGGCTTATAGTCTGGTGCGGCTTATAGTCCGAAAAATACGGGTAACAGAAATATTAGGTCCATTCAAGAAATGGGTTCATGTTGTTTTTGTTGTTCCTTAGGCTGCTCTCTTCTTCACAATTCCATACAATGAGCAAACTTACACAAAATAAAAATTACCAGCTGTTTCATATCAGATGCACCCCCTGACAGAACCTGGCCTCAAACCCGCAACCTCAGGATTACAAAACACAGCACTGACCATGAAGCTACTGTGGACCCAATTCAGATTCAGCATACTGACTCCTATTTATTTTTTATACTACTTTTAGCTAGCATACAGCTAATTTTAGCCTTTAGTTACTTTTAGCTGTTACCTAGCCTTTTACATTTTTTTAGCTAGACTTTAACTATTTATTTATTTTAGCCTACCGTATTTATGCATGTATAATCTAAGAAATTTAACCCCAAAAATCATCCACAAAGTATGGGGGTTGTAGTATGCATGAATAAATTTTGACAGACTTTTTAAAATCTTCAACTACAATAAGTTTCAATATTTTCTCAAACATAACTGAAACATTGTGTCGCAGGGGATAAATCATTTCCTCCTCCCTCCTGTTGTGAGTCGCACATAAACAATCATAAACAGTAGTTGTTTACTCACCAGAGTTGGAGGAGAAAAAAACTTGTTGTTTTTTTTTTCTTGTTAACCGCGACGATGAAAAGACGGATGTTAGTTGTATGTTCTGATAAATCCATCTTGCTAATTAACAAACAGCTTCTGCTCTGCTCTGTTCTGGAAGTGGATTATTTTTACAAAGACACGCTGAACTGAAAGCTCATGCTGCTCATCCTTGAGTGTGTTCCCAAATAATGATTCCCCGCCAGAGTGTGCGCCGCAAAGGCTGAAAAATCCTGAAGTCTGTCTGAATGAGTGGTAGCTTTATACATGAGGATTAGATTTGTATGCTTTTTAAGCCAAAAAGTAATGATGGTATTATACTCAAGATTGAATTAAACGTGAATAAATATAGTAACCTTTGCTACTTTAGCTTTTAGCTAGGCCTTTACTACTTTCAGTTTGTGTTTTGCTTCTTAACTTTGGCAACCAAGACTCAGCCTCTTCGGTAAAGTCATCCTGCACTCAGCATTAACATTTGTGTTACAGGATAGCAGCTAATTTCTACCTCTAGCTTTCAGCTTTTGCTCGTCCTTCAGTGATTTCAGTTCGGCAGAATAATACGCTCTCGACATGCTGAGACACACTCGCAGAGTTTTTAGGTAGGAGTCTTTGATGCTGCTCAGCTCCTCCCACATATCAGCCTGAGGGTTAGGAGACAAGACCATCAGTTTTCTGTGGAAACTCTGGAAGATGAAGGCTGAGAGTGCAGAATCAAACTTACATAGCTCCTCAGTTCTTTGTCTCGGAGAAGTAAAAAGCGCAAAAGATTCAGGCTCTCCATGATTCTGGCCGAACAGAAACACAAAAATGTTATTAACATTATTTTATCCGTCTGTTTTTTGACTGTATTGTTTTACTTACTTGTCCATGTTAGTGAGCAGGTCTGTCTCAGCAGCTTGTGGTAAATGCAGAACCAGTTGAAGCAGAGGCAGTAATTCAACACCCAAGAACCATTTATTTGCATTTCCCTCCTAGAACATAATTATAGATGAAACCCGTTAAATCAGCCTATTGGATAAAAATGTGTTTCAGCCACAGGACAGAGCTTATGCAAACAAAATTAAAGCAATCTTGTGTCTACTAAAGTTTTGTTTTTAACGTAAAGTTTAAATTTATATTTGTAAATATTCCAAAAAATATTCCAAATTGTGATGCTTTCTAAACTCGTCATCACTTTATTTATAGAGCACATTTAAAATCAGCAGTGTTGACCAAAGTTTTTCACAGACACGATACAATTAAACTGTAAACAAACTAAAAACATATAAAGACACAATTATGAATTCCTGATGTAACTCAAACTGAAACTGAACTAAAAGCCAGTGTAAAAAGGTAAATTTTCAAGTAGAATTTAAAAGACTGAACAGACTGCAGGATCTCAAGAGGCAAGTTGTTCCAGGGTCTTGGGGCCGCTACAACAAAAGCCTGGTCCCCTCTACGCTTCAGTTTTGCCCTTGGCAAGTATAATCTATCACTTGTGATAAAACCAGATGAAAGATGTTTTTTTATTTAGGAGCAGCAGAAATTATCCTTTCTACCATTCTCCCTCTGAAACATTTCTGAGGTTGTCGAGTAGTTTGTTATACTTTACGGTACAAAAAAATCCAAGTTTTTGTTTATTTATTCGTTTTATGATTAATGTTAAAATTATTTTTATGCATTTTTGTCTATTATGTAAAGGCATATGATTTCTAATCTACTACTGAATTATAACTAATCCACTGTCGACATTTTTTGCTTTAAAACATTTTAAAGTATTTTTAGTTTTTAGCCCCCATCGTAAGTTTTTGTTTTCTGCAATGTTGTTACAAGCCTAAACTTTAGAACAGTTATAAACTGTATAGTCAAAAGTGTTTGTCTGAAGAGTTGCATTATCTAAACACCAGAAGGATAATGGGGAAACAAGGAGGAGGTAAGAGGGGAAGCACCTGCCAACCCTGGAACCTCAGTGGCCACCCACATTGATTGATACTTCATTGCATGTGGCATTGAAAGATATATGATTAGAAAAGAAGATAGAAACAGTAGTTTTTGATTAAACCTAGTTATGAAAGTTTGACACGTAATTACTGGTTTATACTTAATGTAATCAACCTTCTTGTAAAGATACAAATATTTTAGAACATGTACAGTTTTGTTAAAAGTCCATTATATTTCACTCTTAAATCATCTGAATGTTTGTGACATGAACTCAGTAAGTCAGAATATTGAGTGGAACTGAAACAGATGAAAAAGGTAAGTGATTTTATTTACAGGTGTTTTATCATCACAGTTTGAGTTTGAAGTATTTCCAATTTGTGACTCATCAAGGCATGGATTCTTCTTACTTTAACAATATGACTACAATAACTGTGCGAAAACTTAGAGTTTTGAAGTTTACAAGACTTATGGACCACCAGTTCTCAGTTGAGTCTTGGGGGCAGCAGCCTAAGCAGAGAGACCCAGACTTCCCTCTCCTCAACCACTTGGCTCAGCTCATCTGGGGGGAATCCCAAGGCGTTCCTAGACCAGTCAAGAAACATAGTACCTCTATTGTGTTCTGGGTTTTCCTCTGGGTCTCCTCCCAGTGGGATGTGCCCAGAACACCTCACCAGGGAGGCATCCAGGAGGCATCCTAACCAGATACCCGAGCCACCTCAACTGGCTCCTCTCGATGTAGAGGAGCAGCGGCTCTACTCTGAGTCCCTCCCAGATAACCAAGCTTCTTATTCTACCTCTAATGGAGAGCCCAGACATCCTGCGGAGGAAACTCATTTTGGCTGGTTTATCCGTGATCTTGTTCTTACAGTCACTACCCAGAACTTGTGACCATAGATGAGGGTAGGAACTTAGATTGACCGGTAAAGCTTGACCAGCACGCTACACTTTTTTTGGCTCAAGACCATGTACCCTGATTTGGAGGCACTGATCCTCCTCGTGGCCGCTTCACACTCGGCTGTGAACCGCTCCAGTGAGAGCTGGAGATCACGATCTGATGAAGCCAATAGGACCACATCATCTGCAAAAAGCAGAGATGTGATCCTAAGATCACCAAAAAGGATCCCCTCAACACCTTAGCTGCGCCTAGAAATTCTGTCCATAAAAGTTATGAGCAGAATCGGTGACAAAGGACAACCTTGTCGGAGTCCAACTCTCACTGGATATGAGCCTGATTTACTACCAGCAATACGGACCAAACTCTGACACCGATCGTAACAGCCGTATCAATGGGTCTGGTACCCCATACTCCCGGAGTACCCCCTACAGGATTCTCCGAGGGACACGGTGGAGCGCCTTCTCCAAGTCCACATGTAGACTGGTTGAGTGAACTCCCATGCACCCTCCAGGACCCTGCTGAGGGTGTAGAGCTGATCCACGACCAGGAGGAAAACCACACTGCTCTTCCTGAATCCGAGATTCAACTGTCTGATGGACCCTCCTCTCCAGGACCCCTGAATAGACCTTACCAGGTAGGCTTAGGAGTGTGATCCCCCTACAGCTGGAACACACTCTGTGGTCCCCCTTTTTAGTGAGGTCAGTCAAGTTAATTAAAACATCACTTTAGATATTAAACAAGTATAATGATTGGTTTCAAAAGGATTAAATAAATCAGATTTTAACTGTAATCGTCTCAACACTGTTCCAAGGTTTGACTGTGTGAAAGTTTCTGTCTAAAGTTAGGGTGTCTTGATACTGGATTTTGTCAGATCAGGTATAAGTACTTCAGTTTTGGTACTTGCCGATGCTGAGTAGTTAATTCATTAGTACTTAAACATTACACAGTGACTTTAGAAACACATTTCTTTTAAGAACATAACAAAGAGCCTGCTGTTTGAACATCACCAAACATCACATCTTTAAATATCTTCAAACTAGGAACATTTTAATTTTTTAGCCCTTCATGACCTGCAAGGGAGATGAAGAAATGATGTTACCTAGCATAACAGTGGTATTGGTCTGAAGTATTGGGGTGTTTTTATTGAGTACAAGTATGAAAACTTGAGGCAGGTATCAATACTTACTAAGATTGTTTTGCACTGAAAACAGGCAATTTCTGATTCCTAATTTTGGATTCTGATAGTCTACCGTCTAAAACAAAACACATATTTTTCTATTCTTGCACAATTCGTTATATTATTTTTTATTATCAGTAGTTGTTTTGTGGCTAGTCAGTGTTAATTTTGTTTTGTGTGCACTATCTATAGTTTGTAAAGTAACTAGTGTGTGAACGTCTGTACGGATGCTGCTGTGACACCTGAATTTCCCCTCGGCAGGACAATAAAGGCTATTTCTATTCTATTCTAAAACTGATATCAGTTTAATAACAGCATTAAGCACCGTTTCTACTTACCTTCATAGAAAGTTGGATTTGACTCCTGATGTTCTTGACTATGTAACTCTCTACACCTGCATGGTTGCTGGTTTTTAACATGCACCTGAAAAGTAGGAATTAATAAGAAACTTATTGGCTCATTCAGAATACAATGTTAGATTTTAAAAAAGGGCAAAACGTCCCAAAAATAATGAGTTTAGCATATATAGTATCAAAATTTAAAAAGAAAAGGGCAAAGCAGTCAACAGATGAGAGGTGAAGTACAACAAAAAACAGTGAGATGCACCTGGATATTATTTGTTTTCAAGGTTCTCTTACCTGAAGAATTTGTGCTTTGCTTCAGCATCTAGTTTGTTGATGAGCAGCTGAAAAACCTGAAGTCCTGATTCTCTCTGGAGAAACGTGACCCCAAAATGAAGTAAAATGATTAAACAAAACTTCTGATGTCAGTAACAATTTTAAAATAATAATAAAACATTGTAAAGTACTCACTAAATGTTGGATTGGACAGTCAGTAAGGACTTGCCGCAGTCTCTGAAATTCGGAACAGCAAAACTCAGTTTGGGATCAATGCACTCATTAAAATGCATTTTAATAAACTATAATAAAATTATAGGGAAGTACAGGCATGTACATACCCTCCATTTCCTAGTAAATGACAGCTTTTGTTAAACAGCACAACATAATACACAATTATTATTTATTTAACCCAAACCAAGTCAAATTGGAAAAGCAGTGTGTGAAATAAGTTTATCCTAACTGCTTGGTATTTTTATTTAAGTATTTTCTAGGTACTGATAACCTAATGCATCATATTAGACTCAATATAAAGAATTACGTCCAATTCAATCCAACTTTAATTGTAAAGCACTTTAAACAATCATGAAGACTAAAGTGATGTATGTCTCTAAAAAGTTCACATACACACTAGGCAAATCAAAAAATTTGTGTTTACTGTCAACCAGCAGTTATTAAGTAGGGGTGTAAGAAAATATTGATACATTGAAATATCGCGATATTTCATTTCCCGATACTGTATCGATATTCTAAAGCCCTGTATCAATTTTTTATTAAGGTTTAAAATGTCAACTTTCCTGCCAGCCGTTCATTGTTATGTTGTAGTTCAGCCTCTGACCACTAGTTGATAGCAGTGAGCTGGCTCACTGCTGTCAACTAGTGGTCAGAGGCTGAACTACAACATAAAAATGAACGGCTAGTTGGCAGCAGTGAGCCAGCCATTTGGCTACTCTACCTCTTGAGGTAGAGGCTATTATTAAGTGTTGGGTGACCATATTGTAAATTAATATTAAAAACTAAAAGCTGCAAAAAATATATTTTCAACCTATTTATTGGCAAATTTAGTCTGATAATTAAAAACATGGATGAAATAAGAAATATGAAACAAATAAAATAAAATACATACAAAGCAGAACAGAGCTAAATGTATCAAAAGTATGTCTATGTAATATTAGAATTTTCTGAGACAATGAATATTGGTTTTTCTTTTTTTTTTCCCCAGTAAGAGGTTTTTATTTAACAGAGTTTTTGGACCAAAAAAAATCGCAATATATCGCCTTGTTTACAGTATCGCAAATATCGGGATATATCATATCGTGACCCCTTTGTCATGATATGTATCGTATCACCAAATTCTTGCCAATACACAGCCCTATTATTAAGTTGACTTAAGATATTTTAGAAATCAAGTTAATGGTTTGGCATTTCCTTAAAGCACAACAGCAACAAATCTACTTTAAATAGAACTCAGCTGTATGAATGATGACAAATATCAGAAAGAGAGCTTCACATCACATCTGTGTTTAAGTCTCTACATTGCGCATTATGAACAGATCTTGGGGTTCTTGCTTTGGTTTTTAAAGTGAGTTATGGCCTTGGTCCTGTCTATTAAACTCTGAGATACCCAAACTTGTTTACTGGCAGCTCAGAGGCATCCAGAACCTTGATGAACTCTGTGTGTATCTTGTCAAGCCCTGGAGCTCTTCTGCTGCAGAGTTTTTGAACTACCTTTGCAACCTCAGCATCTGTTACGGACAGACCAACCCCAAAGTCCCCAGGCTCATCTGCCTCCATGAAAGACGTGCTGGTGGGGTTGAGAACATCGTCCAAGTGTTCCTTCCACCACCTGACATCACTCGTTAACAGCACTCCTCCACTAAACACAGTGTTGGTAAAGAGCTGCTTCCCTAGCCTCAGCCATTTGACAGTTTGCCAAAATGTTTTCAGAGTTAATCGAGTCTCCATCCAAGGCCTCACCCAACTCCTCCCACATCTGAGCCTTTGTTTCAGCAACAGCCAGGGCTGCAGCTCCCTTGGCCTGCCAATACTCCAAAACATTACTACAACTATTTTTACACCTCCCTGCTGTGCTTAAATATCCAGTTTTTCATTTCCACAATACAAGATTCTACATTTGGTTAAATGTTCTGCCTCTGTATTCCTGTTGTCCTTGTTCAAAAATGTAAAGTGACAATTTAATATTTTTTGTGTTCATGAGAAGATTTACTTACTTAATTTGGAAAACCAGTAAGAACCACATAAAAATGTTATTTTTAATAAATACAACATTGGAACATAAAGATGCTAAATAAAAACAGAATTTTTACTAACTTGTCACCATTTTTATTGTCGTTTTAGCAATCTGCTGAGTTCCAATGCTTGATATTTGATTCAGATCAGTGTTTTTAAATTGTCTCATCCTAATTTCCCAACCGATTGATAGTTTACAGTAGTTCGAGTTTCATCACCAACAAGTCATTTAATATTTTACTGAGTATTTTGTTGTAAAATATTTGCTAGAGCAGAGCTTTTTTTCTCTCTTGAGGGTTGTTATAATGCAGTACCTGTCTACTTTTTTTCCTTTAGATGGAACAAAAATGGTGAAATATTTCAGTTAAAACAGCATGAAGGTCATTGTAAAGTTTCCAATAATTTACCTGTGGAGCGTTATTGAAGCTCTTCAGCTCCAGCAGACCCACTGGAAGGCTGTTGTCCTCTACCATCTCCAAACTCTTTGAAAATAGTGCCTATAAATAAAATGATGCCATGGAAAGAACCAATTATAGAAATAACTTTTTTATTCTTGATGTTATTTCTAATATGTATTTGCTTATTACCAGTCCTTTGAGTAAATGTGATTCCATTTTGCTGTTTAAAAAAAACAACTTGTTAAAATAATAATTTAAAAACCAAAATCCATCTCAGCAGATTGTACTGATAACACACCAGCTGAGGAGTTGATCGATGTGATCCATGTTGCACTGAAGAAGAAACACAAGACTACAACAGCAGATGAGGTCAACATGAATACATTTAACAGGGTAAATGCTGTATCTTATGTAAGATAATAAAAACAAGCTCACTAGACAGTGGTTATAGTCTCACTTGAACACAGCTGGGAAGCTGTTTATGCCGATGAGCTGGACGAACAACAAATAGGCCCAACATGCTGTGGACTCCTTGGACAGATTGTCCACCAGGATGTCTCTCCTCAGAGAACCGGAGAACAGGAGTGACTCTTTGATGACGAGTAATATGTCCTGCAGTGCACATCAAACACTTTGGGCTCCAAGAAAGAGAACATTATTCAGGAAATTCACATAAATTCGTTTATTTCTCCTACCATGATCTCGGCTGCGTAAAGCCACAGAGCTGATTTTCTGTCTTTGTTCAGTTCAGCTTCCAGCAAGGGCTCCCTTAAGCTCCTCATGCAGCTGAATAAAAAAAAACATTTAAATTGATTTCAAAATAGTTTTCAGTGTTCGTACTCAAACTTATTTGGCTTTTCTTTAAACTCGTCAGTTTTGATTATAGCTGTCATACTTTTGTAAATATTAAAAGATGTTTATGTCTGTCAAAATGAAGTTCTGGCCAAATGTTTGGAAAAAATCTTAATCAGTTGGCACAAAGTTTCAATTCAAGCACTGATTCACAACAAAGATCCTGTGTTAATGCAGGTGAGAGTGTTGATGAGGAAAGAGATCACAGGTAATGGTTGTGCTGCTGATATAAATAACTCATAAATCAACAGCTGATCGGATCATCTTCAAGAAGAAATTTCAGGAAAGTCATTCAAGAAAGTTCAGCAAGCACCAAGATTACCTCCTGATTTTAATTAGCTGCAGTTTGGTGCACCACCGGTGAATAGTTTACTTAGGGAAATGTGGGAACCTCTGCATGAAGACTTTTGGAGAATGGCCTGGTGTCAAGGAGGACAGCAAAGATGCCACTTCTGTCTAAGACACTGATATTCTGTTAAAGATCCAGGGATTGGACTGCTCAGGACTCACGTTCTCTGATTAATCCCCTTTCTAATTGTTTGGGGCATTTGGGAAGAAGGTTGTTCAGAGAAAACTAACTGTGGTACGTTCAGGTCTGTCATGCCAACAGTGAGGCATCCTGAGAGCTACAGATGGGACAAATGGCTCTTTGAAGGGGTCCAGGTCATTACGAGTTTTTAATTAAACAAGTTACATCATTGCCTCCCCTTTTCCCCCTTAGCTGATGTACTACAACCCTATGCCTGTTTTATGTGAAAAAGCAAAGGAGGAGTGATTGTCTCCGGTTAAGGGGGAGAAAATAAAGATATTACAAAGAAAGAACAGTCCTTTACTCTCCACAACTCTGTTCCTATTGTTTGTTGTAAAAAGTTGTTCAAAAGATTCAAATCGTTCACAAACGTCACAACTCTGCTGAGATCATTCATGAATGGGGGGCTCTTTTCAGTTAATGAAGCCTAAAAACACAGTCAAACAGGCAAATACATAAAAATAACTGTAAATAAAATCCTTTGAAACTTAAGAAACAACTGTAATTTAAAGCAATGAAGCAACAAACTGACAAATCATATTTGAATCCTCAAAACTTTTGACCACAACTTTGGATTAATGGAGATTAAAAAACTGAGCAGGAACATTGACACAACCATATAATATTGGTGTAAAACCTCAACATTCTTACACAAATGTAAAGTTTTACTCTGGTCTCTGATGATAGTTACTCAGGTGGTATGAGGTAGCCCTGGAACCCAAACGTACAACTTCAGGAGTTCTGTCCTCAGCTCCTCGTCTTCAGCAGAAGCGTTTTCATCTTTCTTCTTCACCTCCTCTACAAAAGGCTTGATGAAAGCAGCCAAGGCAGAGCAGCAGCGACACAGGCCATGCTCATCAGCCTCCTCCTGCTGCTGGGTGTACGGTACAGGCAGCCGGGACAGCTGCTTCTGGACTGCTGACAGAACCAAACCCACACAGGCCCCCTTTCTCTCATCCAGCTGGAGCAGAGCTTAGAGACAATAAATGTTCACGTTATCCAACTTTCATCTTTGTTCATGTTGTTGACATTAATGTGCTGAAGAGGGAGCCAAACCCCTTGGTTTGAAAAAGAGCTTCTGCTTTTTAGACAACAAAAACAACTCAGCTATTTTTATCCACATTTTAACACCAAGATTAAAGTTGTTTAGTGCAACTATAAATGCTTTTTATGCAGAATGATAGAAATTACCGTAGAGCTACTCTGATGTTTGGGGGAATATTAGATAACAGCTCAAATATTTGATTTACCTGTTTGAAGATGTGGAAGAAGAGTTATTATGGTTTCAGAAATGGCGCCTGGATCAACATCTTCAGTTACTTCAAGGAAGCTTTTCACGAGTGTTTCAGGGCTGCAAGTCTAGACAACAGATCAGATTCGTGTAAAGTTAATGTGTCTGAAATAGGTCTGCAGCCATGGCAGTTTTCTGACTGATCACCTTTAAAAAGTCTGACCTCTCCATTCCAGTACCAATTTTTAAAATAACTAAGGTGTTATAAGGTCACACCTTCAACGTTCCAATCTTATTTTATTGAAAAACTTTGAAAAATGATACAAACTTGTTTTAACTGGACATCAGGCAGTGCTCACAGCAGAGCAAAACGAGACAGTGGCTGATTTTCAGACCTTTGTTGGAGGCAGAAGAGAAGCTGATCTTTTCCACCGATCTTATCAAAGTATTGGCCAATCTCCCAAAATTAAGGAAATCAATGCCCTGGTCTGAAAGCTAGACATTTTTTATTGCAACACAAGTTATCATCAAGGTGAAATTTGTGATCAATTTGCCATAATAATGCTGGACCTCATTCTGCAGTTACGTTAATAATAAACAGCGTAGCTTCAAAAAAGTGAAAGTGTGGAATCTTTCGCCAGACTGTTTCTACAACAATTTTTAAATCCTGATATACGTAAACGTGAAAAACTAATTTCTAAAACAACCAGGGCAACTAGAATCTTGTATTCAGCAGGAATGGATACTAATTTATTTTTTCAAATTTGCAAATACTAAAGTCTTCAGTTCATAAATGATCTAAAATTAAGTAAATGTTACATCAAAGTGCCATAAAACATTGTAATAACATTATTTTTGGGTTTCTTTTTTATACATTGATAAAATTATGAAAAAATGAAGATTATTCTGTTTATTATCTGATTAATAATAAGAAAATGTCTCTTTACTGTTTAAGAAAACCTGTTATGGCTTTAACTTGAACAGAGTTATGTCTCTGAAGAAAGCTTTCTGAGATCAAGTTCAAAGACCAGTGGAAGTGTTTATTCCACCCCTAGGTGACCACTACAGAAGTAAACATGAACCTCTTCCAAGCTGTTTTTGAAACAGACAGAGAAAACACTTTGTTTGCTTCAATGAATGAATTACATATTTATTAGTTTACTTGTATCCTTTAATTTAAAAAGTCATTTTCTAAAATTCTAGGTGTATTTCCTGGACCTACCTTGGTCAGTTGAGTGACGGCAGCCTGGCAGTGGTCTTGACTCTTCTTCTTTTGAACCATTTCTTTTACAAGAGGTGCCAGAAGCTCACAGCCCATAGAAGCCACAATCCCCTGTGTGTATAAGAACACTTTATCAATAACTCAGAAAAAGAGTCTTGATGGTGAGGATTTGAAAATTAAAAAACACTATACAGCGGGTAAAATAAGTATTGAACATGTCACCATTTTTCTTAGTAAATATATTACTAGAGGTGCTAATGACATGAAATTTTCACCAGATGTCGGTAACAACCCAAGTGATCCAGACATACAAAGAAATCAAACCATAAATGTCCAGAAATGAAGTTATTTGTACTAATGTAGAATGGCACAGGGAAAAAGTATTGAACACACTTACTGGAATTTATCTAATAATTTATACAAAAACCGCTGTTGTCAATGACAGCTTCAAGACGCCTCCTGTATGTAGAAACTAGTGGCATGCATTAATCATGTGGGATTTTGGCCCATTCTACCACACAGTCTTCAAATCTTGAAGGTTTCGTGGACCTCTTCTATGA